CTCTGATAAAGATGGAAATGTCATGTCTTCCTGTTATGCGATGTTCTTTTTGTCTTTGACATTTCTTAATCTTTTTCTCATCCTTTTTCAACCATATGTTTTGATGTCGTAGCCCATTATATTCAAAGTTATGAATTTAGGTTATTAGAATTTCAGTAGATGTTCAGAAGAATAAATGTGCTTTCTAATACATATCTTTATATTTTATTAAAAGAACTGTAAAGTAAGATACAGAACAATTTAGTATTTGAATTGGCAGTTACACTAGAAACTGCTTCCTAAAATGTCAGTGTTCTTAGAAGTAAAACCGTTGAAAAAAAATTCTTAGGAAAAAAACAAATGTTCTTCAGTACATCCTTCATTAGTGTATTTTTCACATGGAAGAATCACATCAGAAAAAGCTCAATGTGTCATGTTGAATTTTGTCATGTGCCAAAGCTTTAAAAACTTGTTTCGCAGAATAACAATGGAGGTATTTTTGTATGATTACAAGAAAAGATTTTTTTCCCTAGTAGTCAAGCATGTAGACACAAATGTGACTGACAATGCAATGCTTTAGGAAAACCATCAATGCTTCTGATAATCAGGACAATATCTTTTAGAGCAATTAAATTATTTCAGATGAAAATTAGGCTAAAGTAGAAAACACAATCATTTGTTTAAAATTTAATGCAAGCAAATTTAAGTGAGTTTAATGCAATTGCAACTGATTAATTTTTAACAATGTAGAAAATGATAACAATCTGGACAAGAATTAAGCTTCTGGTTTTGGGTTATGACAGCTAAGTCATTTAAGCGCATTTCAGAATTAGGCTGTTAACGTAAATATTATTTAAAATAAAGCCTGTGAGGGGGGAAAATGTATAGACTGTGGAGATTTTCCTCTCTACATTGTAGTTTCAAATTAGGTTTAATCTAGTTCATGAACAAGATTTGCCATGCTTTGTAACTTGCTTAAGTGAATGGATGCAGCCCGCCTGCCATATCAATTAAAGTGCCTCGTTTTGTAGTTTAGAAAATGGAGCTACACATGGTCATAAAAACTAAAATATTTGCAGTAGTGCTCTCTCTCAGAAAATGAAACTGTTGATGCCAAAGCCTCCTCTTGTAACATGGAGATGAAATCTGGTGTTCCTCACTTGTGTTCCCATGGCCAGAGAGAAGTCAGAGCAAGACCCAGTGCCTTGGTTGCCCAGAGCCTTCAATCCAGTCATTTTCACAAGCACATTAAAATTTAATTTAAGTAAAATTACTTGTTTATTGCTTTACTCTAATTCTACCTTTGAAGAAATAATAGACTGGTATTTTGAAGAAATGCATAAAACTCAAGTAGATGGACTGGATAAGTTTTAGAAATACTATAGTTTTAGGTAAATGGGAATTTATATTTTTTGGTTTGGGCACAAAGAACATCATAACTGTAGAATAGCACTGCCTTTCAACATTTTCTAACATCCTGGGTTGTACAGTAAATATGAATTGAGATTTTAAATGCTCTAAGAGGAAGGCTGACTGTAGAATAAACAGGGAGCTGCTGATACACAGCTTTAGTTTTAGTGAGAAAATCTTTGGTGATAATGCTATTCCATGATGGAATTTACATTTTTTTTCTGCAGTTTCTTCTTTTAAATTGTTTTTTTGTTCCACGAAAGAAAGCGATAGTTAAATAAGGTTATAATCAACATAAAAACCTGCAGAGTATTTTAGAGCTTTTGTCAATTAGGGCCACTGTTGCAAGGGTTCCTGCAGCTGAGGAGTGTCTGGTAACTTTGCAGAAACTAAGTGTGCATGGAGTCAGTTGGCAGCTAACGCCATTTTTGTGTTTAGCTAAAGCCAAAATTCTTCAAATATGGTAAAAATATGAGGAAATATCATATATTTGGAATGTGAACAGGAATCTGCCTTTTTAATGTGCAAGTATGTTTTGTAAAGGTGGGGAATAAATGTTTACAGATAATCACACATGTTGTTTTTAAATAAATCTTTCCTCAGGAGAGAGAGCGAAGGTCGCCAGCATTTAACCTTCATATAACCACCTTCCCTGAAAATAATGGAAGTGCACTTCAACTGTTCTGTCATCAGGAAGGAATAAAGGTATATGCAGAGCATTAGAAACAATTGGATGGCTAGGAACTTTTTTGGAATGACCAACCTAATATCCAAACAAATTGTTTGGCATTTGCCAGGGAAGAAAACATGAAAAAATAAATTTAGTAAGAAAAGATATTTTTAACCGGGGAAAGGATTTCATAAGAATCTGTTTGGGTAGTCAATCAGGAGTTCCTCAATGAAAATGAAGGCTGATCCATCAAAGTAATTTACATTCGGTCTGGGGAAGAATGTGGAAGTTGATGTGATTCATTGTCAGACTTGCTACACTACATTGTTCTTGATATTAAATGTTTTCATCTAAGTTCAGAAATATGACATTCAGCTATTATTTTATACCCAATTTAGTGAAGCATTTTGTTTTTTGAATGAATATGCTTAAGTTATTTGCCTAGGCCAGGGCCTTGAAGCATGAACTGCCTGATCCAAACGTAGATAGCTGGAACTCTATCATTTTAGATCAAGCACAAGACAAACATCAGGATCTCCCTTGGTTAGCTTTTGCTAAGAGGAAGCAAGAATTACTCTTTTCACTTCTGTTCCCCCATGAATAGGCTAGCTGTGACACTTGATTTGCATGCTGCTTCAGCTAAGATTGAATTCAGACTTGTGCTGTCAGTAATATTGCACAACAGACCAGGGTAACTTTTCTACAAGTAACTAAGGCATAATCTTAGTGCCATAGTGATTTATGCTAATATTTTTAATTGTGTTTACAAGTCCTCTTATAAGAGGCTTGCTCCTATTCAGTGCCTTAATGAGCACAGTACGATCTCTAGAGGAAATGAACTGAAATTGTAGGCTGCGTAATTTTAGGAAGCTCAGTAGTCTAAAAAAAAATAGTTAAAACTTCATTCTTACCTACAGGTTTGGTTGGATACTCATCTCCCTAACCACATCAAGAGTCATCAGTTAGTGTATTACCTTTCAAATAGAACCTCCATGGGATGCCAGACCTGCTTTTAGCTTATCCATTATTCTAACTCGCATGTTGGCTGTAAGCGGGAACAGTGTACCAGAATCTAGAATTCCTATTTTTCCCCATTGTCTACTGTGACAGTCATTAACAGCAATGTTCTTTTCAGGCTGACCTTCAGTTTACTTACCTGTAAGGAGAGGCAGTCACCTAATATGAGCATACTGACACTGCTGACCTTTTATCTGCTTTTAGTGGTTTTCAAAGTTGTTAGCCATCGGTAGCACGGTAGATTCCAAAATGATGCAAAATCTGGTTTGGTTTCTAATTCATCCTTTATGCTTCATATGAAAATAAATGAATTAGAATGATTATTTCTGGCTCAATAGATGCAAGACTTCGTATGTCTTAGTGAATTCAATTTCTCACTAGCATTACTGTTTGGCTAAAGAAGTTTCCATTCAACATTGTCATTGCTGATCATAATCAATATTTTGTTTTTAACATTGTTCCAAACACAAGTGCATTAAGATGTGCACCACTCTAGAGTTAGTGATGTGCAGTGTTAAATAACTAAGATAACATTTGGGAACACCAGTGAAGTGTTTGGGAAGAGATGAAAGAGAGGGAGGGAACTTCTCAGGATCGAACAACTTGAACACAACACTTTACTGGACTTATTTGTATGTTCTCTCCCACATCTGTGTCTAGTCTTCAGGAAATCTTTCATTTCATTTTGAGCCTTCCTCACTGGAGTCTGTTGATTATAGAATCATGAGCTAATATATTCTGATGTAGCTATGTAATTTGCAAGCATAGCTGGTTTAGCTTTAAAAAGTGTTAAAGATTGATTATCCTGACTACCGACATAATGCAGTTGCCCAAAGCATAAATGCAAAGCAGCACGTTATGTACTGGAAGCAATGAATAAGTGAGCCAAGATCCTCGTGAAATACTGGCCTCTTCTAAGCAGTGCTAAATATGAGTAGAAGTTGAGGGTGGCAGCGTTTAACAAGGCTGATTTGCTTTATGTATGTGTATTAAGCATTTTGGGCTCACACGAACTGATGTTTTCCCATGTTGTCAAACCTTCCTACTTTTTAATAACATAGCTGCATACAGCCTGTCAACGGAAATGATCCCTGGTCCACGTGAACTTGTGGCCCATACTTGGAATAATTCAGGAGAATGTGATTAGGGCAGGTTAGACAGTTCCATGACCCCTTCCAACAATTTTTTAAAGTAGAAAATAGAGTTCTGGGACCTCGGAATGGACCCTGGCACAGTGCAAAATAAAAACATTCCTTTCTCTCTCTCTTTTTTTTTTTTTTTTTTTTTTTTTGGTCAGAGCAGTGTTTCTCTTTATTTCAGTGGCTGGGCCTTAATAAGGAGGGGTTGTTCAGTTCTTTTTGTGGATCTGAGAGCTGACTGGCAGAGAAACATAGCTTTCTACTCACAAAGGTTATGAGCTGATGGTGTTTGGAGGAGCATGTTCAGCCCTCTGCACACGTTCCCTTCTGGCACTGTAAGGCTGATTCAAAACTCCATACTTTTGTTTAACAACGAAAATAAAAAGCAAACAGCAAATCACCCAGTGAACCTTCTTAGCAATTGTTTTGTTCATGCTCTCTGTCCTTTTAACTTCTGTAGGTTGATGTGGTTGATGCTCCACTCCAAACAAACAAAAAAAAATGGTTTTTAAACCTTTTGTCTTTAAACACTCTTTTAAGCCTGTTTATCAGTTTTGATCGTTCCTCTACATGCATTAGCAGGATGATAAATGTGAGTGGTGCAGGAACATTCTGCCCTCATGCACAGACATTCAGGTTGCTTGCTGTAATCAAAAGTGACATTTTGTTTTGTCTTTGAAAGTATTAATAACACTTTTGTAATGTGATACAAAACTAATGTTTCACTTATTTGTACTCTTTTTGCATGCAGAAGTGAATAAACAGTACATAAAATGTAGCATATATAATCTATTTCTCACCTACTTTAAAAAAAATAAGTGTTGAACATCTTTTTCAGGATGTGAACATATCTGAACTCATGAAGAAATTAGATATTCTTGGAGATAATGGGGTAACAAATTTTTAATTTTAAATATACCTTCAGTTTTATGGTTAATTTAATGCATTTTTTTCTCCACAGCAGATAATAACATCCAAGAAAATACAGAGGGTGATTTTTATATGCCTATTTGTATTTGTATGAAGCATATGAATGGTTAGGTACTGCTTTTACAAACTTGAAATCTTTCAGTTAAACTGATACCAGTGAAAAGTGTATTTTTTGAAGCTAGGATTTGATCTTGACTGAATGATGTAGAAAAAGGCACTGAAGTAGGCAGAGGGAAAAGATAATACCCAGACTAGATATAAAAGGAAATAAAAACAGATTTAAAACGGAAATGAAAGCCAGACCAAATTGTTGGCAAAGTTTTTTCTTTTGAGTAGTAATAGTAGCACCTACTACTGTGAAGACTGTTTTCTGCCAGGAGTGGATTTTCTGGGAGAAAGGCAAGGCAAGGATAACTGTGTCCCTTTCTTCTTCTACAGTGCCAAATATAGAATAAAATCTTGGTCATGCAGTTGTGGCACAAACATCCAGGGACCTGGGTCCAGTTTATAGGTAGCTTTAAGATATTGAGGTCTTTACAATGCTAGTTTTAAGTTCTAGATTTACATATTATGTTGAAAATTCTATGGAGGTTTCTATGGTACTTGATCTTTGCATTGTTTTCATTAATGGGAAGTCTAGCTCTGAAAGTGCACGAAGGGGAGATTCACATGCTGTAGGGCCATAGTCCAATTAACAGGCCTAAGGGAAAAAAAAATTCAAAATTGCTGACAGAAACCACTTAATTTTCATCAAATAATAAATTGTTGCAAAAGTGTTGGGGAGGTATTGTACTGAAATTGAGTGGACACTAAGCACTCCTGGTTTAACTTTTAATACTTTTAATAATGGGATACTTTTTTGGTCATTTCTATAATTCTAATTGTTATAATTATTTATTTTTTGAAGTACCGTTATTTTTTGTGTTAAAGGATGAATTTTTGACCCAATTTAAAATGCATATTTTTGTATTTTAGAATTTGAGAAATGAAGAGCAGGTTGCAATAATCCAAGCTGGGACTGTGCTTTCCCTCTGTGAAAAGGTAGAATTCTGTAAATGTTTTTCTGTGCTGAAAATTGAACATGCCTTCTATGATATCACATGCCAGGGAAGCATGATTTTTCTGTTGGGGTCATCTGGAGTTGTGCATGTATTCATCCTTACATGAATGTTGGGATTGTGATGTCTTGAGGTAAAATCAATCTTACAAAACCCCCCCAGTTTAAAAATAAAGACCTGTTTTAGAGATATTCCCCATGAAGTACTAAAAAGCCACTTAACACAAGAGGTTTCATTCTCAGAAGTGCCGATGTCCTCAGTGCTCTGGGAACACGTTGCTGTGACATCCTTGGTGAGGTGCCCATGGTCCATCTCAGGCTCATTTCTGTGGATGACTGAAAAAGCTCAGAGTAGTCAGTGGTCCTTTCCTCTGTAAAGTAGTGGACATAGAGAAAAAGCAGTTTGGGCAAGGTAAGTGTTCGGTCAGGTCACTCATTTCTGCATGACTAGTTCTTTTCTTCTCAGTTACAGAGGGAATATAATCTGTATATGAATAGGGGTGATATTTAGAACTAAGCAAGACTTGCATATTTCTCTAAAGAAACCTCTGTCCATCCTTTTCATATGTTCTTGTTAAGTCTTTCCTAGATGCATTCTTGAAATTCAGAATCAGAGCTTTGAAATTAAAATTCGAGCATTTTGCAATAATTACTTTATTTGGTATAATTTTGATAATCTACTTATCTAAATATCTTGAAGTAGATAATCTACATTAGGTAATTTAAAAATCATTAATTTGAGTGAGTGATTGCTATAAGCAAAGTAAAAATGAGGAAAAGTTCTAAAATCCATATATTTTTCATTGTGGCATTAAAAGGAAAGGGGATGATTTTAGCCCTTTAAATCCAAAAATGAAATGGGAAGAACCTCAGTATAAAAGGTTAAGATAGAGACTCCTAAATGTCTCCCTTGGTTCCAGAAAGGCTTACAGGCATAGGAAGGTCAGAACCAACATTTAGTTTTGCATATCATTCATACCTTCAAAAAAATGAGACCTCTAATTTTTGCAAATAGCCCTTCACTTGATTGAGGGTAGCTGTGAGAGATGCCCATTTCAAGGGTTCAGAATGCTCACGGTCTTGCTGAATATCAGAGGTGAGGCTTCCCTTAGGAATATCTTCAGCTTGTCACCTTCAAAATGAAGAAAACAAAGATGGTGAAAATAGAATCTCTGGGGAATATAACGTTCCTGTTCATTTTTTTTTTCCTGTAGAAAGTTAAGTAGGTAAAACAATTTTCCCTTTCTTATTCACCGGTCTCTTAAAAAGTGGAAGATCCAAAATGATGAAATACTGAATTTACATTTTGTGTATTTGTAAACTTATGTTTGAAATTTCGTATCTAAATCTTTGGGGAAAAAACCTGGTGTGTCATTAATTCCTTTGAGTCTGAGCCTTTGGATTCACCAAAACTCTAAATTAAAAAAGGTGATGTGCAATGCTTACTAAAAGAATTGAAGCAAATATGAGTAGTCCAATGTTAGTAAGCAAGGCATTTGAGGAAAGTGATAATTATCAATGGCAAAGTTACATCTGGTTTTAATGGGAGCTGGTGCTATAAAAGGAAGCGTTAGTCTAAACTGTGCTCTCTGTAAGCTAGTCATTGATCCTTATTGTAGACCAGTAGGGAAATGAAATAAAACAATTAATTCAGAACTGAGCTTACCCATGCATTCCAATAAACTTAAATGTGAAATATTAATATAATCCTAATGATGGTGAGTGATTAAGCAAGAAACTTGTATCCATGCATTTAGCTACTATAATATGTGATTTTTTTCTTTAGAAAGCAAAGAATGCCATTCTTCTTAATCGTTATTGGTTTTTTGGTCACCAGAATGGTGAGGGATTCATTGTAGCAATTACAAGAACCTCCATCTGTCTGTCTGTCTGTCTGTTTGTTTTGCTTTTCCCTCTACATTACTGATTTACTAGAAGTGAGCCTCTTCCCATGAAAAGTGCAGCAAACTGTGCAAAATCAAGGATTGAATTTTCCACCTTGTCTTTTGTTTAAATTGCCCTCTGAAAAAAATGAAGGAGTGGATGCCTGAAGTCATATGATGGTTTTGCAAATCGGGCCAACAAGCATTGTGCTTGTTGGTATATCACGTAAGAAGCAGATTGATTTTGCATTTTGACCCAAGTCTATTTTGTATCTTGAACTTTACTGGGGGAAAAAAAAAATTGATTTACTGTAGGAAAGAACCTCCATTTGCTAGTCCTTAGTATGTTCTTGCAGTCTTCCATTCTGCCTGTGTTCTCACAACCTGTTTATTCATGTGGAACTTTGAAGTGAATACATAGCATGTGCCTGGAAGTGTTGGCAACAAGCTTGAAAACTGTTTGGTACCAACTTTTGCAAAAGCTCTATTTTCTTTCATTTTCTGTTTTTTCCCCTTCACACTGCTATGTTCTTGTAGTGGTTGAAACAGATAGAGGGGACAGAAGCTGCACTGACACAGAAGATGTTAGACCTGGAGAATGAAAAGGTAAGGAACAGTAGCTAAAAGTATAATTCATTTAGCTAAAACTCGTTTCGAGGGAATGTGTATAAACTTCATCCCAGGTTGATTTACTGCCTTTCTCTGCTTAACAGAGATTGCTTCATGGTAAAATAGGCAAGAGGTTTCTAGAACAATCTATTGCTTTTATTCTTTGGGGTGAGAGGGAAATGTCAAATCTATATAGAACAAAAATAGCATATTATATACAAATTAGGGCACAAATGCATAATAACAGAGCATATTGACCAAACAGTGTGAAATTGTCTGTGCTTTCTCTGTGTATTAATTTGTCTGGCAACAGCATTGTCTTTTGAATCTTGAGGTCATGTTGCTAGAATTGTCAAGGGTATTTCTTTGCTCTCTGGTACTCAGCTTCTGGACAAGTTGTCAAGACCTCTTACCCCAGATGACCTTTCTTGTCCCATGGTCTTCATGCCTAAAGACAGAATGTTTTCTCAAAAGCAATTCTGTCTTGCAGGACAAACTGACCTTATTTTTCCATATGTTGAACAAAGAATTTTAGAAGGTGTTAATTTTTATTGGTTTACCATGCATACTGTGCTTGGCATCTTCAAATGGTTTTCCAAACACTGATTAATCCTCACCACACCTTTTACTGGTAGATAAACAATTAGCATTACATTCATCCTAAAGAATGGGACAATGAGACAGGGAGATTAAGTGATTTGCCCAGGCCACTGAAGAAGTGTGTCTTTGAGCCACAAACAAAAAGGAAGTGCTCTGTTGAGTGTAGCCTTTCATGCTGATTGTAATGTAATGTAGACATGATCCTTCCCAAATTTAGTATTTCTTTATTTTTTAACTCTTGTTATGGAAAAATGCAAAAGTTTTGGGAAGGGAAAGTGCCCTCAAATATTAAGTTCTTTTGTAAAAAGAATTGGAAAAACATAATTTCTATATAACTTGGTTTATTATCTTCCCACTTACTATCTGTGATGTTTTTAACTCTTACTTTGGGTATCCCTTGCATCTATTTGTTTAGCACAGCAATCTGAGAATCTGCATCACTAATGATTGACTCAATCATGAAATGAGTTGAGAAATAACATTCTAACATGATGCTTTCAGAAGGACTGAGCACTTGTTTAGTCATCTTTGGAATCCATGTTAAGGATTTGAGGTCCTATTCTTGTTTCCTTCCCTCTTACTTTTTGTGGGCAGCTTTTACCATACCTTTTTGATCAGGACAGCTGCGTTGCTTTTCTGGGATCTGGTGGTGAACTCAACTGAGCTGAGCTGACCCTCTCTATAGTCTCAGGCAAGTCAGTCTAGTTCTCTGGTGTCAGACACCTGTAAGCATGTCAGGACCAGGCCTGTCCTTTACTATGCAGTTCATGATGGTATTGCATCTTGTACAGCTGTTGCTGTAATCCATCCCCATCAGAAAATGATGCCACTTGGGTAGTCAAGGTGGGATTCAGTTGCATAAGGATGGCGTCTAATGCCACATTATATTCTTCAGAGTTCTGGAGATGTCCACAAGGGGCTGACAAATATGTCCTATGGGACTTGGTGGAGATCCCTGCCCTTCTGGACCAGTAGCTGAAGCAACATATTCTAAAATGGGTATCATAACTATAGATGCCCATCTGTGTGTAATCAAATTCCAGCCCTAAGATCAAGACCTTTCTTAGACTTTGGCTTTTCCTTCAGTATTTATTAATAGGTAATTAAAAGAACTGCAAGTTTACAAAACAAATTAATAATAAATATTATGCTTCTTATACAGAGAACAAATAGCACCTTATTCCTCTGAGTCCTTTAATATTGGTCTTATATGTTTCTACTGTCACCAGTTCTGGGTTGCTCTTAACATGTGGGAGGTCATCTGTAGTCACTTTATGCTCTGAGCCCCTCCAAAGCATTAATTTGGTGATTAGAATGGATTTGTTTTAAAGTAGATGTTTGGACTGAGGATTCATCATCATGGTTCATGCTTAGGCAAACTCAGTGTCAGTGCTATGCTGACAGCTGACAGCAAAGTTGTCAGAAGTCCACATATATGTGTAAAGGCAAAATTTGGCCAAATAAGTGACTTTGGGGCAATCCCATATCCAATAAAACTAACTGGACCAGCAATGTTTGATTTTTTTGATACTTTTAGTAAAGGCTGCAGTTAATCATCTGAAGAACCCTATGTATTTAATTTGGCATTTATTCTATATGTTGAGGAAATTAAAAAAATTGTTGAATAGAAAAAAGAATGATGGAAAATGTTGAATTCAGTCAAAGGGCTTCTCTGCTTTCTGGTCTACTACTAATTTTTTTGAGTGTGAAAACATGTCTCGAAAGAAAAGCTAATAAAATTGAATAACTGTTTTATGTCCTAATTACTATCACCCAACCTGGTCTAGGGGAAGGTGTCCCTGCCCATGGCGTGAGGGTTGGAATGAGAGGGTCTTTGAGGTCCCTTCCAACCCAAACTATCCTATGAGTCCATGATCCAAAACACTCTAAAGGCTTGACTATTCAGACAACCATTTAAATGTCCACAACTTGCTTGCAACATCATGCTTTTGGATACCGAGTTCCACTGAAATCCCAGTCTTTGGAATTTATATTTTTATATATATGAAATAACTGTGGAAGTTGAGTAGCTTGATTTTTAAAAACAAAAGTAAAAAATTCCTGTAAATCCTAGGCATCTTGAAAACTTCTCAGCTCTTCAGCTAGTCACTCAACCTCTCTGGGCATCACTTTACCCATTTCAAATTGGCTTGAAGACCGAGTTGTTACTTCTGCTTCAGTAGCACAGCACAGAATGGTGCTGCAGAACCCAGCTGCAGACCTGCATGTTCATGTTTCCTCCCAAGAAGAACAGGCTAGACAACAGAAATTAGGGTTTGCCCCATGATTTCCTTAAGGATATGCATGGGACATTTTCAGAAAAGCCATAAAGTGCCCTCACTTGTGTTTCTCTTTTCTCTGCCTTGTCCTGCCCTGTGCAAGTTATGGCTATTGATCACATGCATGCACATCCCCATTCACCTCTTGCTGGTCTGTGCACTTCTGTCAGGTCCAGGCAGGTTTGTACACTGGTGTAGAGGTCAATAATTTCTAGGTACAACTTGTTAATATAATACACGTATTTGAAGTGCTAATATTGTTAATTTGATATTCCAGTTATCCTTAGGATGAATGTGGTCATTTGCTGTAGGTTTTCATTTGCTTTCAAATGGAAAACTTGTGTAAAAATGATAGCATTTATGATTCTTCATGAATTAGGATAAAGAACAAACACTCCCTTGTTTTTATTATTGCTCAGGACCTGTTCAGTAAACAGAAGGGTTATTTAGAGGAAGAACTCGACTACAGGAAGCAAGCTCTGGACCAGGCTTACATGGTAGGAAAAGAACAGTCATTAAATTTTTCTGTTTGAACAGATTTGTTAAAATGGAGGGCTTTTGTTTTTGTTTCTTTTAATTATAAATAGGGTTCTTTTTTTCTTTATATCTCTTTTTCTACCAGACTAGAAATCAACTATTACTTAAATGAAAACTTAGGAAACGGGTTATAGTACTTACAAGTGTAATGGTTTTGCATTGCATTTTTTATTCTATGATATATAAACATCTTGTTAGTACATCTCGAATGAGAAGAGCTTGTT